ACTAAAGATAATCCAATACAACTTTGTTAAATTTTTTTTAAATAATCGTCTTATTTTAGCCTTTTTCAATATTGCGAGGGTTTTATATCCATGTGGAGTTTGGCAAACGCTTTAACCATGGTTACCTATTATATTTGATACACAGCTCCCCCTTCGATGAAAAAAATAGGATAGAAAGAAGTCAGAAAACAGTTTTTTTTATTTTTTTATTTTTTTTTTAATGATGGGTGTTGAGTTATTAAAATAGAAAAATATTTCTATGACGGATGCTTCAACATCCAAAATAAAATAAAAAAATCTTATTATTGGAGTCTAAATCCTAAATTGATTTTGCACTTTAGATATTATTATTCTTAAATAACACCCAACATTTAATTAAAATTTAGATTAAACTTAAAATTATATTTGATTTGAACATTTGTTTAAATGTTAAGAACTCATAATTTTTTTTTATAGTTATTGATATTATAAAATTATGATATTATATATTTTTTAATATTATTTTATCTATTATTTAGCTATTAATACTATTTTATTACTGTCGATTTTTAACTGTGACTGAAACATTAAACATCAAATCATTGTCTTGAAACATTAGTTTCCAACCATGATTTTGAATCGCAAGTAATTGCAATCGTGATTATAATTTTATCATGATCTTTAATAATATTATAAAAAAATTACAAGAGAATATTAGATGCGGTGGCGATTCTAATTGTGATTTAATGACAATGATTAAAAGTCATCTTTAAAATATTTTTTAAGAGCAAGATCCCATATATGGGCGAGTAGGTTCTGATACTTAGAATGATATTGTTGAGTTGATTTTGCACCAATAACTTTTATATTTAAAAATGTGTTGCTTTGTTATATATGCATTGGAGCAACTCCTAATTAAACACGTGGCATAATTAGTTTAGTTGTCTAGTTGGACTGATCAATAAAATTCTTTATATGTTGTATCTATCATACAACTATCACGAAAGTGGGTTTAGTAGTCAAGATCTCAAGTAGTAGTATATTATAGGATTCTAAATTTAGTATTATTATTATTGTAATTATATATAAAAAAAAAACAAACAAATCTATCATACAACCACACAACTCACATGACAGTTACTAATTAAATTAAGTAAGGAATAAATGACATGATATGTATGATGTTACGTGACAAAAATCACTTATTTTTGAGAGCCCGTGACAAAAATTATTGAAAATTGACAATCCTTTTTAATTTTTTAATCAATTATTTCCAACAATATCTTTGGTCGTGAGGCCGGCTTGAGATATTGCTGCCTAGAGAGACATTATTTAAATGAATAGCCATTCATTGTCACTCTAAAATTCATAATTGAAATCTCGTGGCACGAAAATACGTCAGATACTTCTTGTGTTATTGTAATAATGTATATAATTCTTAATTTATTATTGAATTAATTAAGCAGGGTGTCTGATCTTACAAAATTCATGATATCAAAGTTTGATTTCAAGGAATAAAAAAAAAAAATGTAACAACTTGACAAGATGTCAAATACTGTGTTGAAACTTGAGCATTTTTTCCACAGTTTGTTAGAGACTTTCCTTAATTTCATTTTTATTCTTTTGATAATAGAGAGCTTTGGTGAATTGAGTAATTTACTAAAGATTATAATAGACATCAAATATAATAATGCTTATAAAAAATATTTAAAGATTTTTTACTAATAAAGATTTTACATTTACAAATAGATTTGAATTCATGACTTTATGACCCTAGTCCTTTTGTTTCAATACGTTATTTGATAGCATAAGAGAAAATCTATCTAAAAACAATTAAAAATGGGTTGAAGGTAGGATGAAAAAAAAATTCAATCATACTTGTAAATATTTATGATAAAATTTATTATAAATTTTAAATAAATAATTAAATAAATACCGACTTAATAATGAGATGGAGACGGATACTAAAATATCAATATCTGTATTTAAAAAATATTAAAAATACTTTTAATTATACAAATTATTTTAGTTAAATTTATTTTTATACCAAATACATCATACTTATTTATCTTTGCATAAGTATGTGTTACAAAATTATTTTTAATATAAATATACGTTTTAAAATTATTTATTTTATTTTTATTTCTTACTTTTTAATTAAAATTTCACGTTTTCTGAAACCTACGAATATTTGTAAATAGTCATAAATATATAAAAATTTCACAAATACTCGTACTGGAGGAGGTAACATATAACTACTATCCATCTTGCTTTTTTACCATCCTTAGTTAAAGGTATACCTAATTAATTTCTTTTCCGATTATTTTATTTAACAACTATCACTTCTTGTAATTAATAGAAGAAGAAAATAAGTGTTTATCTATATGTAATTAGAAGAAAATTTCTAATAAAAGACCAAGTTAACCCTGTAACATCCCAATTTTCAAAATGGTAATTACTATTATTAGGCCCTCCCTCTTCTTGTTTTTGACCCTTTTTAGGTAGTGGGTCACACTGTAGGTGATTGTTTGGTTGCTGCTTGGAATTTCGTGGTTGTTTGGGTGCTGCCACGAAATTTCGAGACTGTTTGGTTGCTGTCTCGAAGGTCTTTCGGGATTGTTTAGAGGTGTTTTTTGTTCTTCTCCTTTTTCTCTTCATGGCAGAGATTTCCAAGAATGTTACACCTTCTTCTTTTATCCCTAGTTCAACTGACCGTGGAAGTCGAGGGCGTGGTCGAGGTCGTGTTCGTGGTAAAGGGGGTAGAGGAAACCTCCATTGTACCTACTACCAAAGAGATGGGCATACACGAGACAAGTGTTATTCCTTGCATGGCCTTCCGAGCAAGACAGCTAGAGTGGCTCAATCTCCGATTTCGGCTCTAGAAGTCAAGATTGAACCCTAGAGCAATCATCCAATCACATTATCTGCCGATGATTACAAAGAGTATCTTCAACTAAAGGCGACTAAACAGGCCCCTTCCTCCATCACTGTTGCTCATACTGGTAATTCGACAGTCTCTCTCTCTCATTCTACGTCTATTGGACCTTGGGTTTTGGACTCCGGTGCTTTTGATCACCTAACTGGTAATGTCTCCCTTTTCCGTGACCTATCATCACCTAAAACTCCACATCATATCACTCTTGCAGATGGGTCAAAAGTCCAAGCCACTGGTATTGGTCAAATATCACCTCTTCCATCACTACCATTAAAATCTGTTTTACTAGTTCTTGGATGTTCCTTTAATTTGATTTCTATAAGTAAGTTGACTTGGTCACTAAACTGTGTCATAACCTTCACTTCTAATTCTTTCTTGATACAGGACCGGAGTACGGGACAGACGATTGGAGCCGGATCTGAATCACATGGTCTCTATTACCTTCAGCCTTCTACCTCTACCATATGTGCATCTATTGAGTCTCCTGGTTTAATCCACCGTCGCCTGGGTCATCCAAGCTTGAATAAATTAAAGAAAATGGTACCTCATCTCTCACGGTTCCACCCAGGCCAGAATTTGACAATGGCCCAACAAGCGAATGCTACAATCAAGAATTGGGCCACTATTCAGTAACTGTTTGTAGAAATAAAAAAATCCTTCGTACAGTGTACTGTTTAGAATTTTATTTTCAAAGAACTGATATTTTTGAGGTTTTGTAAACAAAATGATGAAAAATATTGAAAAAATTTCCAAGTGTATGTGAGGATGACTAATTGTCCAACTAGTAACAATATGAGAGAAGAGAGATTTGAATTTTCTAAAGTAAACAATTTATTCTAGAAAATAAAATAAGTAATTTTAATTGTTAAATGAAAAAATAGATTGATGCTATATGAAAATATATAACACATCACAAATATTTTGAAAATATCAATTGTTAGTACTCTTATTTATGGTTGAAATTATTCACTTTACTCATTATTTACTTTAAAAGACTTAGAATATGGATTTAGATTGAAATAGAAAATTACACCAATTAATCACTAAGACGTTATATTAAAAAATTATGAGTTTTGTAGTTTAAATGAATTTCTAATTTCTTTATGAAAGAGTATGCATATTATTTCAACTACATGGATGTTTGAAGAGAGAAATATCTACAATTGTAGCGATTATTATGATAAAATCAAAACACCTACCGTACTTGTTGAGAAAAGTATTCATCCAAAGTCTTTAGTCCTTGATCCTCAATCCTCACTACAAGAAATGTTACTTTTAGTGACATATAAAAAGTGTCACTATAGATACAAATTATGTAGGTATAAACTTATTTGACATATACCCACACACAATTTTTGTGTTGATTTTGAATGAGATTTAACAACATATATTATGTGTCACTATAACCTATAGCTACACTTTATAGCAATTGTAGGGATAAATTTACAAACATATACCAACATGCATTGTGTGTCACTGTAACTTATACACATATTTTTAGGAATAAATTTATTAACATATACCAACATATATTGTGTGTCTCTATATCTTATACCTACATTTTTTTAGGAATACATTTATTAACCTATGCCAACATATATTGCGTGTCACTATAGCATATTTTCAATTTGTTTTTAAATTTAAATTCTTTAAATTGATTGCCTATTATTATTATTTTTAATAATTTTAAACATATTCATCTTTAATATACATGCTTTACATTTTACCTTTTGAATATATATTTCTTGCAATCTATATTTTCTTTTAAATAATTTTTCTCTGAAATTGTATTTTTGAATTTTACCCAATTTTTTTCTTGTAATGCACTGATATATTGAATACTAACATTTATCTCTTGATTGAGCTTGCACCATTGACAACAACTATCCAATTTCTAGACTTAACATGATTAGAAATTTTATTTAGCATGAGTAGAGTCTCCCTTAAGTATAACCGATATAAATTTTAAAATACATCAAAAAACATTTGAAAAGATAAAAAAAAAAAAAGAAGATAAAATCCCCTTGGTGCACTAGTTTTACATGGTTTGTTTCAAGTGTAGGTGGATATATAATAATAATAGGGAGACAAGAAAGTGGGAATTGATCCCTGCCATGGAAATTAAGAAAAAGCAACCATTAGTGGCTAGGCTAGCTGTTACGAATCTTATCTTGATGGTTTCTTCAATTACAATTGGTTCCCACAAAGGATCACACTTCAGAACTAGATATTTATTTGTATTTCATTTTTCAGATATCCTTGCCTTTTTCATCTTTCCCTTCCACACTGTATATAAAAGACATCAAAACAATCTTGTGCATATCTTGTATTGCACCACCCCACAATATTCTGAGTCTGGGCTTATCCCCCTTCAGTTTCTATGGACAAAAATAACAACAATTCAAACTATTCTATATGCAGGAAAATCCATCATGCACTTACAAGCAATCCTGCAATCCAAGCCTAGAATTGGAAATATTAACAATCTGCATATGACAAAAATAAATTATAAAATGATTTAATGACAAATAAAAAATATATATCAATTTTAACTAGTATAAATTTTTTATTTTCTCAACTTGAAACATATATTGATTAGAAGCTAACATTAATATCAATCTTTTATATCCCAAAAAGAGAACAATGTCAATCCATGCTCATAACATATTATTTATAATGTTAGCTCAATGAATAGTAAAGGATCTTTATTTACCTCAGGGTAATATCCTACCCATTATTGATGCGCATAAGCATGTATAAATCCTAGTATTTATAAAGAACCTGCAGTCATAAATAATAAAAATGCAGTTAAAATTACAAAAAATAATTATATGATTATGTTTCTCAACTCAAATTTCTTACGATTATCGATATCACCTAACACCCACCACTTGTAGTTCACTAAATGTTATTATTATAATCGTTTCTGTTACTTGCAGCATCGGGTATCTAAACATAAAAAAGAAATATATGTAAAGTAATATTTTTGTTAAATATGATCACAATTGACATATGTCAGTTGTAAGAGTTAATACCTCTTGATCTACAGCTTCTATAATGTCATTAATCTCTTGAACTCCTGAAAATCGTGCTTGAAGAAAAGAAACAAGATTTCCAAGTACCTTCTCTAATTTTTGAATTCTAAGTTCTGCAGTAGAACTTTGAGCTGCAGTATTTGAATTTTTAGCAAGTGGAAGTTTGCCAAGACAACGTACATGTCCTCTTTTTTCAAGCCCTTTCACTTTTGAATAGATGTCATTTTTCCAATTTGTATAATCAGGAGCAGTTTGAGATCCTCCTAAGCTTTCTACCTCCACCATATGCTTCTTTAATTCGTCCTACATCAAAACCCCTTTTAATTAAAATAATCTAAACTATCGATCCTGTATGACACCAATCATGAGTTTAGATGCTTTTGAAAGCTAAATCGCAAGTATACAATAGAACAAATCAAACCATAAGGTTGTATCTAAGAAACAACAAAAACATAAGGCATAAAAATTGAAATGGCAGAAAATGAATTATATTCACATAGCACATTCACAAACTAATTGCAAAAATATACCTAAAACCCACACTGCAGTTTCAGAACCTGGAGACTAAAATTGACAATGGTAAAATTTGAAATTCCATTTTCATTGGGAAATAAAGAGCAAGAATGCGGGCACAGAGGAAATCTAAACTCATGATTGAAAGAAAGTGAATGAAAAAAACAATGTTATTTTAATTAACAACATAAGGATAAATCTAAATATGAATTCTTACAATCACATGGACTGCCTTTTCATTCACAATGCTCCCATCTTTTCGAGTCCGAGTATCAATATAAATTTCAGCTCGTGAGGGTTGCACTCCATTCTCCTTTTTTTTTTCTAATGTAAGTAATGAAATATCAATAATCATATAAGTATAAGTAACATAATAAAAAAAAATTATTATTCAAAGAAAAAAAATTACCTCATGAATTAACCTTGGGATATTTTTGGTACCCATGCAATGTAGATCCTCATATTTTGAGCGACTTCTTTTATTCATGATACTTATGTCCTATAACCATGTTAAAGAAAAATCAAATATAAAAATATTGCTAAATAAATTCTATATTAGACAATATGTTAATCATATTATATATATACTCACTTGTCCTTTCTTAGAACACCAATGATGTACTAAATCACGATACTAAGAAGGATCAACCCTTTTGTCTGGGATGTTGGCAGCCATTTCTTCCTTAGTCTTACTTGCATCATATGCCTTTGATTTCAAATCATGCTTGAATTGCCTCCACTTATTACTCATGTTATCCTTTAGTATTCTCTTGGTTTGCTCAGACAGTTCAGGAACAAATTGGAACTTACTCTATCATAAAAGTCAATAATAAACAAGTCAACCATTTCAAAAGATGAAATTAATTACAACTTATGAAATTCTATATAATAATATTTTTTATTAGGAGCTTCACAATGCATTAATACCATGATAATAAAATAGGCCAATAAATATAGATATTAAATTCATAGAAAGTATAATATTGTATTAGTTGTGAGATCTTTGACTAAATGTTTAATTGACCTTGAAAAGAGGCGGTATATAATATTTTTGTTGAGAACTGGGTCTCACAAACTTAATTCTCTATATTCTAAAGAGATGTTTTAGACAGATGTACTTTGAGTCAGCAAATTTTCTTTCTCTTCAAACCTTCTCTTGATCAGATAATTCTTTCCTCAAAATCCTTAATTCTTGCTTGTATGTCATGATTTAGGTTCTTGAAGCTTGAATTTGGTTCAAGGTTGTGTGGAGTTCTTCAGAGAACTCAGGTTCCTTCTTCTTTTCCTGTTCCTCAATTATTCTTTTGTGCGGCTAGATTTGAGGTAAAGGAAGCTAGAAAAAAAATTGGCTGGATGATTGGGTGAATTGCATTGTTATTTTCATCCAATGTGGGTATATATGTGGATGAAATTAAATTGAATGGTTAAGGAAAAAGTTTTTGGTGGTTTGAGTGTTGAGGTAAATTTTGGTGATTGATCATACATGATGTTACATCTTGAAATTGAACTTGGAATTGAGTTTTTTTAAAGTATCTATATACTTGTTTACATGTTACAAGGTTGGAGATTTCTAGATTTCAGGTGGATTGAGGCGATTTTCGTGATCTACAAATATAGATTTATAGTGTCACGATTGTGACACCCTTACTACCCCAACACATATCTTGTAATAATATAAATAAAACTAATGAATAAATTTTTTAACGTTGGTAAAAAAAGTTCACATAAAATCTTCATAATTGTTCTTCAATATCCAAAATAATTGAAAATAAAACTTGGAAAATAAAACATAAGAGTTTACAAATTATTTTCAAAATAATAAATACAACTCCAAATTCATATAAAAATCCATGTCCTAGAAATCATCTGTTCCGATGTCACAATATCAGAGCATACCCATAATTCAACTGTTGGCATTCTAGATGCCACTCATAGCCGAATCTTCCTCACCTAAAACATCCACAAGTTTTATGGTGAGAAAAGAAAACATCTATAAGTAAACCACACAAGGAAAATCCATAACATAATTTCATCATAAGTCATTACTTAATGAAATATTCACAAGAATTTCTATATATCATAATTTTATCAATCATGCATCATCTTCACATCACAATTCACAATCACACCAATCCATCACAGATCTTGCAATTAACACTATGCCAAGGCCACGCCGTATCTGACATAAGTGATACATGTTAATTGCCTCACACATCCCACATATTCCAATTTAATCCAAGGAATTGATTAAGCTAGGTCTCACCCTCATCCACATATACCATAGTTAGCCTAGCTTGCACCACAATCCACCTCCTCCCTATATAAGTCTTTTTCTTCCCTTTGTAAACACTTTTGATGCATCTATTGAGAGAATTCCAAAATGTCCTCTGAGTTTTCTCTCTTCCAAAAGTCTCAAACCTCTTTGATTTCAATCCAATTCACTTATCCTCTTCATACAAGAGTGTGATGAGTTTTGAAGTGGCTAATCTTCCTCTAATGAGTGATACCTTTTGAGAGTGTTATTCACCTTCTAAGGTGAACCTTGGAGCTTCTACCTCCATTGGAAGCTTCAAAAAAGCTTAAGGAGAATCAAGGAGCCGAAGATTTAGGGAGAAACTTGAAAAGAAGCCAGCAACAATCCAGTTTCCTCTTAAGTTTTCCATCATTTGGTATCAGAGCTAGGTTTTTTTGGTAGCTTCTTCCTTAAGCTTTTTGTGGGTTGTTGTTTGGTCAAAATATGTTGTTTTGAGTCTAAATTTGTTTCCACTTGTTTTTTCCTTCATTGTCGTGAGTATTATGTGTCTTGAATTGTTCTTGTGCACAATGATAAATCTATAGAACAATTCACTATGTCTTGCTTGTTTTGATTCATACACTACTTCTTGTGAATCAATCTTTGTGTGTGCCTTTAGGATTCCTTGGTATGTGCTTTTAATGTTTTAGGTTTGCTTTTATCTTGTTTGGACTCCTTAATAATTTGGTCAAAAAGAAACTCCTAAAAGAAACTATAGTAGTAAGCATTTTTCACATTTCTTAATCTCCTAGTTTTATCTTAGAGTCATGTGTAGTTGCTTTACTTGTCATTACATCTCTTGTGTGCCTTTTTATTTTTGAATCTTAATAAATTGTGCCTTTTTTTTGTGGTTTTGTTGCTGGCTGAACATGTATTGATTCTTAGATGTGCTCATTATATGACTCATGTGCATGTTATTAGTCCTAACATATTCTAGAGCTAATTTTGTGAACCTCAATTGCTAATTGTTTCTTAGAAATTTTAGGCCAACAATCCTTTGTGTCTTGTGTGCTTATTTTGAAAAATAAAATAAAGTAAGAAGTGTAAGAAAAACGAAAATCAAAAGTGTACAAAAAGAAGAACAAATTAGTAGTAAAATTAGTGACTAGTGACATTGAATTTTGACTTGTACACTTACACTTCTTATTTCTTTCTTTTCTCTACCACTTGGAAATTTCTTATATCATTGTTTGGTCTCTGTTTTTAAGTGCTCATTTTCTGTATAAAAAAATAATAAAGATCCAATAAGGAAACAAAAGAAAAACAAAAGTTAGAAAAAGGAGGATGAGAAAACAAAACAAGTTTAGAGTACTTGGCATTCAAATTTTTGTGTGATTTTGCTTAAGGTTTGATCTCTGTCTAGTGGCTGGAAAAGAACCTTTAAACACTCAAAATATTAGAACAAATTTTGTTTTAATTTTTTAATCAACTCTAGAGTCATTTCTAAGAGTAATCTTTTGAGTGCTAGTGTTGAAATTGTCCTTTAATTGTTGCTTTGTGTCTTTCTTGGCTTTCTTTGAGTTTGTCACAATATATCCTATTTGAGTTTAGCCTCTTATAATTTTGCATTTTTAGTTTTGATTTTATTGGACTCCACATTCTCTTGATGGTTGTTAAATCTTGGTGAAATTAGTCTATTTTCAAGTCATTACACTTGGAAAGGAATGGATAATTGAGACACATTAGATTCATCTCAAAGAGGCCACAACTTGAGGGAGATTGAGGTAATAAAATCCTTGAGTGAAACACATTGGAAAGGCTCACTTGTTTGCTCATTTTTCATCCAAGATTTTTTTGTTGTTGTTTTAGGTGGCAGATTTAGAGACAGATTTCAGCAAACTGAAGCTGGACTAGATTTGAGACGAAATTAGCGACCAGTTTAGCGACGAAATTCGAGACCACTGTTCCAGCAAGGTAAAACAACACCTTAGAGACGGAATTTTGCAACGGATCTTCGAGGAACAATACCAAGGGCTCCAAATCAGTCACTAAATCAGTCACCAAAGCTGTCACTAAATTCGGTTACTAATTTTTTGTAAAAATTTTCAATTCCTTTGTATTGTATCTTAATTTTTCTTGTAAATCATTAACCCTATCCTTGGATTAATCTCTTGAATCTCTTTGCTAACTCAAACTCACATTTAGGAGTGGTTGTTTTGGGAAAGCCTTTGCTTAATCCCACCACTTCCTAAATAGTTTTAAATAAAGATTACTAAACATTTAGCACTTGTGGAAGTGTCCCCAAAAGGCTTCAAGTGTCATTTGGGTATCCACTAGGATTCGACTAGTTTACTTGCTTTCATAGAACGTGTAGTACTTGTAGAAGTGGTCTAAGAAACTCTTAGTGTCACTTGAACTTCCACCCAAGGGAATTCGACTAATGTATGCTTTAATTGCTTTCTTTCGTTAGTTTACTTTCCATTTGTGATTAGGAACATTTCCAAAGTTTGTTTAGAAGGCTTCCTTGCCTACTAGGGGTATCGTGCACACACACACACTATTACTTGACTTGACTTGTGTGAAAAATTGATTTGTGAGACAAGTATAAAGGGGTTTGGTAATTTCCACTTGAGAAGGCTTGGTTATTAAGTGGCTCCTTGTAGCTCACCTCCCTTGATAGTGCAACTTGTATACTTAGATCCCCAAGTACTTAGTCTTGCACCAAATGAGTGAAAACCATTGGGCCTTTAACTAGGTCAATGGTTAGGAGGCTAGAGGAGGCTTCTACAGAGGAGGTGTTTCTTAGACCTATGCTCAATATGAACATTGAGTATCATTCCTTTTTTTAGTCTCATAGTCTCTATTGTACATACCTTGTATAGTTTGAGTTCTTGAACCTTGTATATAGTAGATACTTGTATAGGTGTATTTTGCCTTTGTATTTGTAAGGTACTTTTTCCTTTTCTTATAGGTCATCCCTTTAGGATTTTAGGTTATGTTTTCTAGACAATTTTGCTCTATTTGACCTTGTATTAAGGGTCATTGGTTTTCATATTTTTAGTAGTAGAAGTGGGGTGACAAATAGTAAAGTGTGTAGGTGAAGCTAGCAATTAAGCCTATAGTGGGCCTAGGCTAATTTTTACATATTGGGTTTGTTTTGCTCCATTTAATCCAAGAAATTGATTTAGCTAGGTCTCACCCTCATTAGGTGAACCTAACTAAACCAATTCCAACATTTTTGGATTGGATTAAGTGAAGGAAAACAAGATGGACGCCTAGTTCTTCTAGCTTCTCTCACACACTTGGTTAGCTTGTGCTACAGGCTTCTAGCTTGGCTCGCTCCACAAGCTTTGAAGCTTAGCTTATTCCACAAGCTTCCAAGTTACTAGACTAGTTAGCCTAAGTGTAAGAAGGCTAACCATGGTTCTCCTTGAACCATAGTTAGCCTATAGCTTGCACCACAATCCACCTCCTCACTATATATATAAGTCTTTTTCTCTGAATCTTCGATCTAATCTTCAATAAAAATTTGGTCCATTTGCACTGTGCATGAGGCACCTAATTATAGGCATCATAACCAACTAGAATGGCTGTTTTGATTAGTGAAATGACTTGTTCTAAACTATTAATTTGGTCATAACAACTTTTGTCAAAATGACCCATTCTAGATTGGGAACAACCATTTTGACCTAGGGTTTCTAGGCCTTTTTGATGGTTTGGAACGGTCCGTTCCAGATTGGGAACGACCTGTTCCAGGCTCCTAATTTAACCTTTTTGAGCTTCTAGGCCTCTTGATGTTATTTTGGTTCGTTCTGATGTCACATTGGGCCCTTAAGGTCCTTCTATCTTCTTTTTATTAGTCCCTTGCCTTGTTTGGATGTCCAAACAAAATTAGGTGTCTACAATGACTTATTCTTCTTCACTGGAGGTTGAAGTACTATCACTACTATAAATGTCATTGCCCCTCAAAATCATAGTTTTCTTAATAGGGCATTGGGAGGCTATGTGTCTTCTCCCTAGACATTTAAAGCATTTTATACTACTTGTCTTAGAATCCATTGAAAATTTCTCCTTTGGTTTTTCTTTTTATTTTTCTAGTGACCTTTCTACTATATATTGAGAGGAATACCCCTCCTTCACGAAAGCATTTTACTCTTCAATATATAAATATCAGTGATGTTATAGACTTCCTACAAAACAACTTCAGATTTAAGAGTTAATAATAATAACATTAAAAATAATCATCATTTTGTCAAATTATGTAAATATAGTGGAAATACCAAAATATCCTACCAAATCATGTTTTTAGTGTAGTTTGTGGGACTTCTTTCCAAGAAGGAGCTAAAATACTAATCCTCTCGAGCAAGGGTTCCCAAATAACTTGCAAATTGAACTTTGTTTGGCCTTGAAACTATCCCAGTAGTGGGATCCATATCAAGTGATATTTTAGGCCCATTCATGCGCTTACGAGCTAAACTTTTCATTCTTGTCGGCTTTCTCTTTTTCCTAGATGTAGCCTATGAAGTAGAGAGTGTAGGAGCAGGGGAGCCTTAAGAAGTAGGAGAGCCTTGAGGAGCAGGGGAGCTTTGAGGAGTAGAGCTCGGTTGAGTATCCATGTGTCTGTTTTGACAAAAAATAACCAAGGTCAATTGGAAAAAAGTAATAAAATGAATTAAAAACATGAAAAAATGAATGAATAGAATATAAATTATACATCAAGATAAACATAACTTAATGCAGTAATTAGATAGTAATGTTTTCCCATATGCCTTCATCCTGGTCATTACGAGTGACATGAACACCGTCTTGCTCAATTTCTTCATTGTTAGTAGGCATACGTGTTGAGAAAGAAAGACTCTCCCAAAACTCAATTGTTGAATCATCAACATTTTTTATACTTCTACCTTGCAGAACCATGGACCACCTGTTATCAATAGGATCTTTGACATAAAATACCTATGTTGCTTGGTTTGCCATGATGAAAGGTTCATCCTTATGACCCACCTTGCTAAGGTCTACCATTGTAAATCCCATTTCATCAGTTCGCACACCAATGTTAATATCAACTCATTTGCACTTAAAAATAGGAACTTTAAATGCACCATAACTAATCTCCCAAATGTCTTCAATGACTCCATAGTAACTTGTGGATGCTACAACAGGATTTTTATCATTTCTACTAGAAAAATGCCTGGATTGAGCCTGAGGAGTAACCCCACTATTCTGCATGGTACTATTGTCATCTTATGACTTTGTGTAAAAGGAAAAATTATTGATATCATATCTAGTATAAGTAAAAACATTATATTTAGGTTCATTTGCAAGACATTTTAATGTGTCACAAACACTATCATCACTAAAGACTTTTTCTTTGAACCATTTTAAGAATGTCTTGTTAATGATTTTTCGTTCATTCTAGGGTTATTTTTCTTCAAAAGGGTTTGATGCTCAGATATGTAAGGGAGGACCTCCTTAGTGTTGTTCAATATATATATGTGTGTGTGTGATTGAAGTAAATCCTTTCGAAGAATCAATTTAACATTTTGGCCTTTTGTACCCTTGGCTTCATATCTATCCTCATGAAGAGACTTAGGAATCCCTACAGGTTTTGCTTTGGACATGTAATGTAAACAAAATTCAATAGCTTCTTCTACAATGTACATTTCAACAATAAATGCTTCTAGACAGTATGGATTCTTGCTATACCCTTTTAAAATCTTCATGTAACGCTCAACTGGGTACATCCATCGTAAATAAATAGGGCCACGTAGTCTGATCTCCCTAACTAGATGAACAATCAAGTGAATCATGATGTCAAAAAAATCCAGAGGAAAATAGATCTCCAATTGGCATAGGATAATAACAGACTTATTTTCCAACTCATCCAACTTCTTAGGGTCAATGACTTTAGCACATATAACATTCAAAAAGAAGCACAAATGAGTTAACACACTTGTGACATTATTAGGCAAAATGCCACGTATAGCCACAGGTAAGAGTTGTTGCATCAAGACGTGACAATTATGAGACTTTAAGCCAACCAATTTAAGATCATTCCATGTTACAAGGCTCTTAACATTGAAAAGTATCCCGTGGAACTTTCACACTTCGTAGACATTGACAAAAACTTGTTTTCTCTTTTCTTGACAAAGAATGACATGCTGGAGGCAAATATGTACGCTTACCTTCTAACCTTGGATGTAATTGTGAACGTATACCTATATCTAACAAATCTTGACGAGCATTAAATCTGTCTTTTGTCTTGCCTTTAATGTTTAAAAGTGTGCCTATTACACTATCACATACATTTTTTTGCACATTCATAACATCTATGCAGTGTCTAACATCTAGATGGCACCAATATGGAAGATAAAAAAATATTGACCTCTTTTTCCACAAGTTTTTCTCAGTTGACTTCTTTTGGATCTTTCCAAAGATAATATTTATGTCCTTGACTTGATCATAAACTTGCTCACCAGTTAAGGGTATCGATGCAATTTCATGTTCTTGACATCCATTAAAAGCTTTTTTCAATCTCTGATATGGGTGATTAGGTATGAGAAATTTTTGATGCCTAGTGTAAACAGTTTTCTTTCCATGCTTTAGTTGTAGGTAGCTTGTCTGTTGTTGACAGATAGGGCATGCGTGATGTCCTTTAACACTATACCCACTCAAGTTCCCATATGCTGGAAAATAATTAATAGTACAAAATATCATTGCATGCAACTTGAAACTCTGTTGACGATACCTATCAAACACATCAAGCCCTTCTTCCTAGAAAATTCTCAAGTCCTCAATCAAGGGACTTAGGTAAACATCTATGTCATTTCATAGTTGTCTTGGGCCTGCAATCATCATACACAATATCACATATTTTATCTTCATGCACAACCAAAGAGGCAAATTGTAAATTGAAAGGAGAAAAGGCCATGAGTTGTGGTTAGTGTTTAAGTTACCAAAAGGATTCATTCCATCTGAAGCAAGTCTGAGCCTAAGGTTTCTTGCCTCACTACCAAAATCTGGAAACAAACCATCAATTTTTTTCCATTGCGGAGAATCAGCTGGATGGCGAAGCATGCCATCACAATTTCTATTTTCCACATTCCATGTAAGGTTCATTGTGTCATTTGCATTAGCAAACAATTGCTTAAACCTTGGAATGACTGGAAGATACCATAACACCTTCGCTAGGGCCCCCTTCTCAACTACATCTTCATCACTACTACCACCACCATCATTCACTTTGTACCATGATAGCCCACAAGAAGGACATTTGTGCAATGTTTCAAACTCTTTTCTATACAATATGCAATCATTAGGGCATGCATGTATTTTCTTATACTGTAGACCCATAGGACACAAAACCTTTTTCTCCTCATAATGACAATTTGGCAACGTGTTGTCTTTTGGAAGCATTAACTTCAACAACTCATGCAACTCTGTGAAAGTTTTATCACTCCACCCATTTTTTTCCTTCAAAATTTATCAATCTTAAGACCGTTGATAATCGTGTGAAGGTTGTACAATCACGAAACAAGGGTGTCTTTGAGTCACTTTTTAAATTATCATACACATGTGAATGTTCTTGTTGGAAAGACTCTTGTCCCACATCACGAATCATGTCCTCTATTTGATCTTCCATTTCTACATCACCTTACTCAGTATGAGACACTGTTCGAGTTTCTTTATCTTCACCATGCCATATCCATGTTGTATAGCTCATTAAAAACCCATCACAAATAAGATGGTCCCGTATTTCATCAATTGCATGTCGTCTCCCAATTAAACAATTAACACAAGGACGATACAATTTTCTATTTAAATCTGCTCGATTTCATTGAGCAAATTCCAAAAATTGTTCAACCCCATTTTGATACTCATGAGTGAATCTTCTTGCATTCATCCAACTATGGTCCATTTTTCTTCTTCTGTGGGACAAATTTATTTACAAAATTGAGTTTTTACGGTGCCTTTATGTAGTACAATAGAAAATCATATACTAAATCAATGTTATTTGAAGCTATTATTTTATTTATCTAAGTAGGCAGAAGATCCAAATATAATTCATCTCATTTCATCCGCTAGATAAATAAATTCATCAAATTAGACATGTAACATTTAAAAAAAAAAAACAAATTAAGGAGTCTAAGGTACCTTAATCAGAATAGACGACAAACTAGATATGTGTTGACTAATAGATGTCAAGAAGAGAAGTATCACCCTCTGCACGCTTCCTGTCAAATCAAGTTTAAGATTTGTAATGATTTAAACACAAAACACGCCAATAATGAAATTATTGAAATATTATGAAAACAGAATAACACAATTAGACGGTTTAAGGATTTTCTATGTATTAGACTGTTGAGATTTCCTATGTGTTGACCATTTATATGTTATATTTAGTAAGATTTTGTTGACTCATTAGGTAACTTATATAAGGCTGGCTACTTGTAGGTTGGCTGGAAGAAGTTGCCTGCAAGTCTTTGTGATTGGATAATTAACAAAAATTTGGTTACAAACATACGATGAAAGTGATAAACATTTCTAGACTAACTTTATGTAGTAGGTTTGGAGTATAACTTAATAGAGGACTTTAAACTCATTTGCTCAAAAGTTACAAAAAAAAAATAGAAGAAAAAATGAATATATATGTTTGGAACATGCATGTTACAGGAATGAACTAAAAATAAAAAATAAACAATGATGAAGGATGATAATGTGCATGATGTAAAATTAAATTAATATATAGCAATAATTTATAACCTATTTATCTTTTCTTTAATATTAAATCACTCACATTCTTTGCACATACTCACACATTTATCACACATAGTCACGCATCCTGCTCACATCTTTAATAAATAATTGATTTTCTCTTTTCTTAACAAACTGCAACAGAGATGAACATGTAAAAGGGATGACCTCTACATTCCCATAAAAAGTTTATCTATTATTTTGTAAATATAGATTATAGTTTAGTATAAAATATTTTAAAAATATATATTTAATTAAAAAATTATGAATTTTTTTTAATAAACATGTAATAAACAATATTATGAAATTACATTATATTATTTGAAATTAAATATTTAAATAATTATAAAGGAAGAAAAAAAATTTAAGTCCTTTTTTATGTTTCTAGATTTCATCCCTAAATTAAATATACTAAAAATTTAGTGGAATATAAACTATTTTTATTTTATTCTAACAAACTTCTTTTCTACAAACAGTTAAACATATTTATAATATATGAGTCAATAATACAATTCAATACAATTTCACATTTCTCTTGCTATCTTTTCTTTTTATTAATCATAAAACCTGTTTCCTCTTATTTTTCTTGAGACTCCTAATTATTTATCTCTTTTTTTATAAAAAACAAATAATAGCAGGGGATTTAAATGAACGAAGCTTACCTTTCAAAGTTTTAGTAACTATGATTGTAGATATTCTGATCTGCACTAAGATTCTTCAACTTGTATGAGCTGTAAATCAATTACACCCTCATATTAGAAGCAGAGTAAACTTTCAAGGTTCTAGGAAGATAGTAATCATATTCATTTTGTGAATTACACTTAGAGAATATGGGACTACTAATTGAAATCATATTCATTTTGTGAATTATCAAGCCTACTAGTTCAAAGGCAAAGGGATGTTTATTTCCATTCATGAAAGCAGCAATGAATTCTTGAAAATAAGCACAATTGGTTCAAAAGTTAAAATAGTTGTCTATAGGCTTCAAAAGTTGATTAGTACATTAAAAAATTGCAAGGTAAAGGTTCTAAATTTACCTTTTCAAGAGTAGAATGAATTTGTTGTAAAGGAGTTGCAAGCTAGTTCTGATTTCCAAACAGGTTGGTTGTACCACTTGATTTTTTCTTATCTTTTTTTCAGGAAAAGGTGGAAAGTAAGGATATAACTTTCAATTATCCTGCTAAGATGAAGAGCAAAAATATTGTCTCTTAATCATCAGTCAATACATGATCTGAACCTAAATAGATTCATGAAAGTGAACACTTTGTAATACAAATACAAACATAAAAGCTAAATCGATTACAAACAACCAAGTTTTTTAATTATTAACTATAGTCAATATCATGGACGTTGTGAATGATCTTTTAAATGATGCTTGCAACTTATTTACCTAACTGATATTTTTAGGACCAGCATCAAGTTGAATACATGTGTAGTTATGGAAAATAAATGATTTAATGGTTTCAATTTTTGGCATATCACCTTCAATTTGAAAGAACATGAGTATATCTTATCTTAAAAGTGCATAGAAGAATATATACATGTCCAATCATGAACCAGAACCACATACTTTGTATTGTATTTGTATTTCACTCAAGTGATGCAAAATTATAAGTCCTTGACATAATTGTGTGATTTCATAATGATACAGTACTAATCAAATTATTTTATTGAACCAACTCAACTATTTAATCTAATCTAACCAACATGAACTATCTTGGAGGATTAATTGTATTGTATTTAAGGTACTTATTGTATTATACTCCAATAAGTATATGAGGGGAGAAAAAATGTAACAAACAAAGATGAATTTAAGAGTTGTGTTCCTAACATCTCTTATGAAAGAACCTTCCCATATATCTAGAGAATTGAAAATGGGGAAGACTCTTCTCTTATCACTGGTCACCCTATAAAAGAAATGTTATGTAGGTAACCTTTGTTACCTCTAGTATTTGTTCATTCAATTCATTCCATTGTTATAAGTTTTTGCTTGTATTAATTTATGTCAAAAACTAGTCTTAATCATGTATATCACAGTATGTGCAGTTTAGGGACATCAACTGGAAAGCCCAAAATGATGCCATGAATTGCTGAAGATCTAGAATGTCATACCTTTGTGTACAATCTAATCATGTCAATCATAAAACCCATCAGAGATTGACAAAAGTAAATTCTCTATGCTTTGTGCTTTAGTATTGTAGAATACTTAGCATATTTCAAGACTTCTACGCTTCTCACATAACATATAATCACCAAACCACCATAAATTTGTGCACAATACCCTAAAGAAAATTACATGAATTCTTTGTTTCAGGCAATTACTCACTCTAGCCAAAACTTGTTTGACGTTATTTAACGTCCTCCGTGCTTTGCAATGTGTCTTGATTGAAGTGCAGAATTGGGGGATTTGTCACACTCAACTCACGATACACATTAAACCTAAACCCATAATCACCATTCACCATCAATCAAGAAGTAATAGATCAATAGAGAAACAAACCCTAATTTGAAAAAAATGTAATGCATGATGGACCAAACAAATACCTTCTGCAATGAACTTGGACAATAACACCAACACCCAACAACACCGTTCGTCGAAGAAAGCTGAGATGGGAAGGATTATTGTCAGTCGAGAAGGGAAGAGCTTCTATTAGACAAGAATGGAAAAACTCGCGAGAGTTTGGAGAAAAGGCGCAATCGATCTGTACACGTATAGGGATTTGCTTCTTGCGAGCGCGATGAATGTTGGCAAAATTTAGCATTCACTTCTACATCGGTGAACAACAAACCCGATGTAGAACAACTTTGTGGTTTCATTTTTACACCAGTCAATAGCAAACCGATGTAGAATTGTCCATATTTACATCGTTTCTCGACAAAACTGATGTAAATATGTTTATATCTTCTATTTATTTACAAAATTGCCACTGCATTTTTTATTTACATCATTTCTATTGGAACCAATATAGATATATCGATGTTGAACAGTGTTTTTCTAGTTCATATTGGTTACCATTGATTTGTCATCCACCATCTCGCTTTTTAGTTTCCTATAAAGAAGTTGAAGTAGTCAAGTTATGGATGTTTTGGCCTCTGCTGTAGTGCATGTCATTTGGATCATCTGGTTAGAGAGAAATTATTTGCGCTTCAACAATAGATCCCTTTGGTTCCAATACTCAATTTTAGTGGTTGTCGTAGTCGTTTCTTTGACGGGTAAATTGTCAACTGGTTTGATTTCTCATTCCATGGAGGAATTCAATATCTTGAAATGCCTCATGATCCCTATTCATTCGTTGAAGCCCATTTTGATCAAACAAGTTAATCGGTACCCTCCAACTCATGACTTTATAAAGTTTAACACAAATGGTGGTGCTTAAGGCTTCCTTAATCATGGTGCCTTTGGTAGCTTTTATAGAGATAGTAGTAAAGTTTTTTTTTGGTGGACTATTGCATCCTACGTTACTATTAAGATCACTTTGCATACTTAACTTATTATTGTTGTGTGCTATTGAACATGCGCATGATGTTGGGTAGCGGAAATTTTGGTTAGAATGTGATTCTAAGCTTATTCTAAACGCTTTTTGAAAACACTTAAATTGTTCCTCGTGACATCTGTGACAGGTGACATATTGTCTCACACTTTATTCACATATGCATTTTTTTCATTCTCATATTTATAGGGAGGGAAATCAATGTGCAGACAAAATAGTTGGTTTTGGTTTAAAACATAAAATTCGTTATAAGAGTGACTTGTTCTGGCTTCTTTTGTTTGGTAGGTTTTTGCGTGATGGTTGTGATTTACCTTTCATTTTTGTTGATTACTACATGGGTTTTGATATAGTCTCCCATATTATTGTTGCTATTTTCCTCTTTTTTATACATATTTTAGTATGTTGTAAATGATTGGTAGACTTTAAGATGTCAATCTTGTTAGGATGTCTTAGTTCTATAATGATACTTAACACGCTAAACTTTTTACAAAAAAAAATCCTAAATTTTATAATAACCTAAATTTGTCAATATTTTTAAAATTTAGAAGAAAAAATCATCCAAATATACATGAAGTCTATTAATTTTTTAGTTTAATGTCAAAATTAATACCTTTTGACGAATATTCTATATAATTAATCAAAATTCTAACATTTGACTTTACTGCTCATTTTTAATTAGCCATAATGTAAATTTCAAATTAATCAATAATAACTAATTTAAAATTAGATACAATTAGGTAATATATCACTACTAGAAATATGTAAATTCCCTGCATATTTTCTTATAATTTTTTCCAAAGGAATTTCTTGCAAATTTTACTGCAAATTTCTCTATTAATTTTTTTTTTATGAATTCTAATTTACAAGTGTTAACTCCAAATTTTGTATTCTTGTATAAATCAAAATTATATTCATACATACATAAATAATAATAATACATATACTAAATCAAACAAAAAAAAACAAAAAACAAAACAAAACAAAATGGAAATAAGAAAAACACGATCTTCCTTGAACCCCTGCAACTGCTTCCTCAACTACTCTGCAAAACCTTACCCTGCAATCATGCCTTGCTGGAACCATCAAACCTTTCATTTAACCAAATCCACAAGCCATATCCCTAAATTTAGGGATTTTGGCAGAGAAAGATATCAGATTAACCAAATTCAAAAAAATCGTGTGCCTATAAATACTAGAACACAAGATGAACAAGGGGATGAAAAATTGAAGAAAAATAGAAACAATGGTAACTGAAGTATAGTCAGAGAAGAGAAGGCACGAACAAGAATAACTAACCACGACTTCCCAATTGTGGTATCATCCTTACTATGATCTAACATTATTTTTGTGTATTATGTATTGTGATTCTTTTTTCTCCTGTCTAATTTTATCGCAAGTATGACTTGAACAATAACCTCATTCTCAGTTAAAATTTAAATCACCAACATAATGTAGATTATTAAGATGCAAAGAAAGACGAATAAAAATTATGGATAAAAAATATTATTTTTCAACCTCTACAAATTGTTGTGTGCCTTAGTTGGAGATGTACCCCTCTCTTTTTCTTCTTTCTTGCACCATTACTATTTGCGACTACGATGAACCGCTTTTCGAAGGTAAGGTCCAACGACGGTGATGTATGCCTTCATCATCTTCTTTTTACTGTGTTTATGCGTACTCGATCTTTATTGAACCACCGTACGTCGTCGTCTTCTCCCTTTCGCATCTTTCTCATCCGCTCTTTTTTTTTTTTGACTTTCTCTCCATACCACGTGTTCAATCACTTCAACCACCGCAGGGTTGTAGCACAGATCTTCTTCTGTTTGTCATCGTGCCGTTGCAGTTCGGGAAGTGAAGCGCCGCATTTCACCCTAAAAACAAACCCTCATTTCTTTCTGTTGTGAAACCCTTTGCTGTGTATTTGTTCCCTCATTTTTTTTCTTTCCATTTTATCTCTTTTGGTCCTTACGGTGGGCTGGTCTCTATGGATCAGATAGTGGCAATGTAACCGTGTGGATTTCTCTTAGATTTTGGGCTTACTTTTTTTTTTTCTATCTTCCTTTTTTTTTGTTTTTTTCTTTTCCTTTTCTTTCTTTTCTTTTCTTTTCTTTCTCCTTCGTATTTTAAAACGTTGCAAATAACTTGGCCCATATCCTCATATTTCTCAAACGATCATAAGATAAACATAAATAATAGCATTAATAATTATAATGAAATAAGAATAATATCTTAAAATTAAGTCCTAGAACTTAACGTTAAAAGAAATGACCAATAGAAATACTATTTGGATTTTAGATGAAATTAATAATAATAAATAATAATAATAATAATAATAATAATAATAATAATAATAATAATAATATTGATAAAATTATGAGGCGTTTCCTTGATCTTAGAGGATAGCATTTATTTATTGTTTAACAAAATTAGCTTAATTGATTTTACTTGATTAAGTTATTTTCCAATATAAATGTGTTAGATGTTCGTGTAATTTTTATTCATAAAAAAAGGGAATTATTGGAATGTGACATTCCCTTAATTCTTGGACTTAAAGGTGCAAATTGTGACAATTCATTATCTTAAAGTTCGTTTTATTTAAATTAAAAATATAATTAAACATAAAAAATATTATCACAATTTTAATATAAATATTCAAGGTCATTATATGAAAGATTTTGTTGGGAAAATAATTGATTAGATGTAATATCTTTTTAACATTTAAATTTAAGATACAAGTTGTGATAACTTGATATCTTTAATTTTTCTCCAAAATAATAAAAAATATCTAACCAAAATCTTTTTAAATATGTACCTTAATAATAACAATATTAAGAATAATAATGCTATTTTTTAAAAATAATTAAATATCTGACTTTGGTGTACACCTCTGTCAATTTTTATATTTTGGGATGTATGAGCTGTGACAGTTCAAAAATCCTAACCTTTTTAAAAGAAAAATAATAAAAAAATAAATAAAAAAATTCCAACACACAAATATTTTCTACCAAAGAACTACGTGACTCTGATTCTTCATTACACATGGAGATACGTAGGAGCAGGAGATCACTCTTGTCGAGCCAAAAAAATAAAAATAAAAATAACAATATTATCTCATTTTTTAATAGTAACAATATAAATAATTTTATTACTCATTAAATTAAAATAAATACATTTGTTAAATAATATATTTGATTATTATTGTTAATTCATATTAATGTGGGGTGAGATAAATGTTTTAAAAGTTATAATAAATTTGCTTAATTAATTAAAGGTAATCGTTTTAAGACAAACGTTGTAAGGTGCTAATACCTTCCTTAGGCGTAATCGACTTCCGAACCCAAAAATCTAATTTTCGTAGACCATTTTCTGTTTTATGGTTTTTCCAATGTTTTTCCATAAAAAAATAACATTGGTGGCGACTCCCTATTTTTAATTTATTTTTCGTCGTCCCGTCGCGATCTCGGTTGTGACAGATGGCGACTCCGCTGGGAAATATTTATGAGAGTCAAGCCTATAATAATTAATTAAGTAAATTAATAATAAGTTTTAAAATGTTTACCTCACCTTTATTTTTAATAAATATTTTCCTTATTCATTATTTGTCTTATTTGCGTGTATTTGTGTTGGGTATTTGAACTTTAGGGTAGAAGATTTTGTTATATCATGTGTGTTGTTTGTTTCGCAGATTGGGTAGTTTAGGATTACTCCCTTCACACACTTCACCTATACACTTTCACACACGTTTATGAGCGAGGTCCTATGCCCGGACTTGAGTGCAACCTAGGATAAGTAAGAGGTCAAGTAGTGGTAACCTTCTAGATGTACATCTTGTTTGGTTATCATGAAGGCCTCACCTAGAGTTTAATCTTTTCAAGGGTATTATCACTTCTAATAGTTTACCTATTGTTGTGATTGATATTCTAAAAAGGGGTTATTGGCTCTAGGAACCTGTTTTAGAACTATAGAACCACCTATTGTGAGGAACACATATTAATGGTCCTATAGCTTTTTATTGTTAGGAGAATCCTTCATAAGATGCAATGGGAGAAGTATTCTACCTCTACAGTCAAATAACATAGCTTATGCACAAAATAAAGAAACTATCTCTCTCTCTCTCTCTCTCTCTTCCTTTACTATATCGTTTCATAATAAGTATCACGCATTTCATATAAAGTAAGTGAAAATAATTTTTGTTGTATTTAGCATTATGCATTTCAACAATAATGCAAAATAAAATAGATGGAATCATAAATGGCATGTTGCATCTATTTCTAGGTAGTTAAGGGACCATAAAGACCTAAAACTCGTTGTGAACATTTTCTAAGAGACATGGTATCAGATTTGAAGAAGACATTGAAGTTGAAGATCAGACAAACCAATTTGAAGAGTTTAAGGGATCTCAGTAATAAGCTAAAAAATAGCCAACGTCGAACTTTTACTATTAGATTCGGAAAGCTTCTTAACCTATTAGAAGTTACCGTGCAAGAAGGATTTCCAACTTGCTCCAACAATTGAAGAATTTGAACAAATACTAGATATTCCTTTAGGGAACAAAAGACCCTACCTATATATGGGTCATTATCCTTCACTAGCTGCAACTGCTGCAACCTTGGGGATTGGAGTAAGGGATTTGGCAAGTAAGAAAGAGACGAAAGGAGGCATTTAAGGTTTCTCAAGAGCCTACTTAGAAGGATATGCATCATGTTTGGCAGAAAATGAAAAGTGGGATGGTTTCATGGATGTGCTTGCACTCATCATTTATAAGATTATTTTATTCCCAAATATTGAAGATTTTGTTGACTTTGCTGCAATTGATGTTTTCTTGGCCTACAAGCATAAGAGGAGAAGCCCTGTACCGACCATTCTTGCTGATACATACCACACACTTAATTTACGCCATGAAAGAAAAGGGGGGATGATTTTGTGTTGTTTGCCTACATTATACTTGTGGTTCATGACTCACATGTTCAAAAAAGGAAGATAGATAAAGACTATAAGTAAAAGAGAATGGGCCCACAACATAGCAAGTCTTAGCGAAAAGACCGTTGTGTGTTACTCTTGTGAGCAAGACATAGGTGAAGTGATTTGCCAATGTGGAGACTTCCCTAACGTACCACTTATGGGAACCAAAGGGTGTATAAACTACAATCCAACTCTTGTAATAAGGCAATTTGGTTATCCAATAAGGAGGCCACCTATAGAAGAGTCAATCACTCCGTTCATTGTCTATGAAATGAGTAAAGATTTGGATATGCTTAACAAGGTTAGACGTGCTTGGGATCGAGTAATTAAGAAAAGAAGAGAGTTAGGGAAAAGAAGTTGCACTATAGAGGGAAGTTATCACCAATGGCTTTGTGAGAGAGTAAAAAAGGTCAAGTTTCCATTTCGTAGCTCGGTTCCAGTTATTGAAGAAATAACAATTCAAGATCCCATGAGTTTGGAGGAAATCGAGGAACTAAAAAAAGAGCTGGAAAAATCTAAAAACGAAAAAGAAGCATTGAAGAAGGAATTGATACAGACTCGCCAAGAACATAAAGCCTTACAAGAAGAAATTACACAAGTAAAGAAGTACGTTGAGTTAGCCAACAAACGAGCAAGAATAGAAGAAGAATGCAAGTTAAACACTCGAAGTTGTCTAGAGGCTGCTGACACAGAGCTAAAATTACGAAGAGGAGAGCGAGATGAGGCTAGAGTTAATAGTGAACGATGGAGAGAGGCATGGAAAAAGTCCAAGGAAGCTGAAAGAAGTGCACAAAGGCAAATCGAGGATTTGAAACAACAATTGAAAAAGGTTGTGGCTGAGTATGAAAGTAGAGTCCAAGATGAAAAACAACTAAATGCCAATCTTTTTTTGCAACATCAAGCCATGTTAAATGCAAGAAATCAACATATTATAGAACTAGTAGAGGAAGTGGGGCAATTGAGGAATGCTGTTGAAATACATGAAGCAAATCAAAGACTTTGGGCACGTAACCTCGTGAATCGAGTTCAGCAAATCAAAGGAATGCTCAGTGATGCCTCTTACTTATTGCAAAGAGCTGAAGGAATGATAAACCCGCTGTCCACTCCCATAGAGATTCATGAGTTCTTTGAATATTGTAGAGATATGATATCTCAGATGAAGAAGATGACTACTAGTGATAAATGATTTGTATTTTTCTTTAAGTTGTATGAGAAATATCATATATGTATTTTGTAGTGCTCTACCCTTCTAAACTTTTTGTACTTCACTTTATCTATTTAATGAAGAAGGTTGTTGATGTTTTTCTCTTTACTATTGTTTCACTCATTCATTTTATGTAACTTCATGCTTATAGTATAAAGGAGGTTTGAAAATAGACCTTCGTGCACAAATTACATCTGAATCTCGTATTAAATCTAGAACGTGACATTCTAAATAAAAAAACAACACTAAAGGCGCTCATGCAAATTCTCGATTCAATGTTTTGTGAGACTTAGTACCTATGACGTGATGTTTTAGTGAATAGTTTTAGGGGATGTTCACACACAAGCCAGGTGACTTATGGTGCTCTAACAATTTCCCATATACAAAAGCATAATAATTTCATTTTAATATTCATCACATACTCATCACATAATCTTGCACAGTGCGTGAAAGTGAAAGGAAAAACAAGTATTGAGGCAAAGAAAATATCCCTACGACACCCTTACTGGACACGCGCCAAGACCAAGATCATGGAGGGAGTAGTGGAAGATTTGGAACAACAACATGACGAGTTGAGAGGAGATGTTAATCAGTTGAAAGAACAAATGAGTAAGATTTTGGACATGCTACAATCAATGGAGTCAAGAAGAGATACAAATGGGAATTCGTTTGAGCAACCTCATGTTACACCTGCTTACCCCCCTCATGTTTGACCAACCAAAATACTCAGGTTCAGTTCCCTCCATATGGGTTACCCCAAGGCTATACACCA